CAGAAGCAGCTGGCCGAGGCGGAGATGGAGAAGCACAAGAAGTTCGCGGAGCAGACGCTGCGGCAGAAGGCGCAGGTGGAGCAGGAGCTGACCAAGGTGAAGCTGCAGCTGGAGGAGACGGACCACCAGAAGGGCATCCTGGACGAGGAGCTGCAGCGGCTGAAGGAGGAGGTGACGGATGCCATTCGGCAGAAGGCCCAGGTGGAGGAGGAGCTCTTCAAGGTGCGGGTGCAGATGGAGGAGCTGGCAAAGCTGAAGAGCCGCATTGAGGAAGAGAACAAAGCGCTGATCCTCAAGGACAAGGACAACACACAGAAGTTCCTGGCAGAGGAGGCTGAGAAGATGAAGCAGGTGGCAGAGGAGGCTGCACGGCTCAGCGTAGAGGCCCAGGAGGCTGCCCGTATGCGGAAGCTGGCTGAAGATGACCTGGCGCAGCAGCGGGCCCTGGCAGAGAAGATGCTGAAGGAGAAGATGCAAGCAGTGCAAGAGGCCACGCGACTGAAGGCAGAGGCGGAGGTGCTACAGAAGCAGAAGGACCTAGCACAAGAGCACGCCAAACGGCTGCAGGAGGACAAGGAGCAGATGCAGCAGCGCCTGGCCGAGGAGACTGAGGGCTTCCAGAAAACCCTGGAGGCTGAGCGCCGGCGGCAGCTGGAGATCACTGCTGAGGCCGAGCGACTCAAGCTGCATGTGGCGGAGATGAGCATGGCCCAAGCCAAGGCTGAGGAGGAGGCCAAGCGGTTCAAGAAGCAGGCAGAGGAGATCAGCGGGAGGCTGCACGAGACTGAGCTGGCCACGCAGGAGAAGATGACACTGGTGCACACCCTGGAGATACAGCGACAGCAGAGTGACCAGGATGCGGAGAAGCTGCGGAGGGCCATTGCTGACTTAGAGCAGGAGAAGGAGAAGCTGAAGCAGGAGGCGGCCTTGCTGCAGCAGAAGGCAGAGGAGGTACTGGGTTGCAGGTCCCTGTTAGTGGTGATGGTGCTCGGGGAGACTGTTCCTCTCCCCAGCGGCGTGGGCAGCGGGGCGGCTCGCACAAGGCCAGTCAGGGTCCAGCAACCACGCTGGGCTTTCACTGATGACATCGCTGCAGTGCAGGACACGCTCCCTGAGCGTGTGCACTGGAGGCGAGTGCTGCGTCTTGCGGGTGTGAGCAAGCAGTGGGCTGCTGGCACCATCCAGGAGATGGAGGCACCATGGAGGCTCCTGCCCCAGGGTCAGGCCTCTCTCGGTGGTCACAGTGAGCGACTGCTTGTGCCGCAGGAGGCCATGGACGTGCGCAGAGCCAGTGTCTGGGTACAGCGAGGAAAACTCAGCAGGGAGGTCCTGGACCTCTCACCCTGACCCCTCTCCTGCTGCCTCCAGCTGCTCCCGCTCTGGAGAGGCAGTCCCCACCATATGTGCCAGCTTTTTGGCCATGTGGGATGTTCTACCTTTTTTTCTCCACAAACAAGAGCCCTCCCCAGCTCCCAGTTTCAGTAGCTGGGCAAGGAGTCCCTCACACCAGCAGAAGAGCTTGTGTCGTTGCTCGTTTTCCCGCTTTGTTGTTTGCCAGAGCTCCCTAACCCCACCTCTACCCCATTAACTTTTGACTACCTAGTAGAGTGGTTGGGCAACTCATCCCACTAATGCACAACCCAATACCAGCCCAGTAAACCGCAGTGCTTCTCCTCCCACTCCTGCCCAGTTCCCACTGCCCGCTGCCATCCATGGCAGAGGGTGCTGCCTGACCAACATTCTCCTCTTTTCCACCCCAGATGCAGGTGGCCCAGCAGGTGCAGCTCCGCCAGGAGACACAGATTCTTCAGCAGACCTTCCTGACGGAGAAGGATGCCCTGCTCCAGAAGGAGAAGTTCATTGAGGAGGAGAAAACCAAGCTGGAGAAGCTCTTCCAGGATGAGGTGAATAAAGCCAAGAATCTGAAGGCAGAACAAGAGCGGCAGCAGCAGGAGATGGAGCAGGAAAAGCAGCAGCTGAAAGCCATGCTGGACGAAGCCAAAAAGCATCAGAAAGAAGCAGAGGAAAATGTGAGGCACAAGCAGGAGGAGCTGCAGCAGCTGGAGAGACAGCGGCAGCAGCAGGAAAAACTCCTTGAAGAGGAGAACAAGAAGCTCAGGGAGAGGCTTGAGCAGATGCAGGAAGAGCACAAAGCTGCCCTGGCCCAGACACGAGAGATTATGATCCAGACAGATGACCTACCTGAGGAGGTTGTGGTTACGACAACACAGCTGATGGACATCAAAGCCATGCCCAACGGCAGAGACGTGGTGGATGGCATAGCGCAGAACGGCGAGCCAGAGTTTGCCTTTGATGGCATCCGCCAGAAGGTGTCTGCAGAGAAGCTGGCTGAAGCTGGCATTTTGACCAAAGAAAGCTTAGACAAGTTGGCAAAAGGTGTTGTGAGTGTTGGCGAGCTCTCGCAGAGGGAAGATGTCAAGAAGTATCTGCAGGGCAAGAGCAGCATTGCTGGTTTGTTAATCAAACCCACCAATCAAAAGATGAGCATTTATGAAGCCATGAAGAAAAAGCTGCTCACCCCGGGCACTGCGCTGGTCCTCCTGGAAGCGCAGGCTGCCTCTGGCTTCATAATTGATCCTGTGCGAAACGTGAGACTGTCAGTGAATGAAGCAGTGAGAGAAGGAGTGATTGGGCCAGAACTGCACAATAAAATGCTGTCCGCTGAACGGGCAGTAACTGGCTACAAAGATCCTTACACGGGAGACAAGATCTCCCTCTTCCAGGCCATGTCAAAGGAGCTCATTGTCAGGGATCACGGCATCCGTCTGCTCGAGGCCCAGATTGCCACCGGTGGTATCATTGACCCTGTCAACAGCCACCGCCTCCCTGTTGAAGCTGCCTACAAGCGAGGCTACTTCAACGAGGAGATGAACGAAGTCCTTTCTGACCCTACAGATGACACCAAGGGCTTCTTTGACCCTAACACGCAGGAGAACCTCACCTACCTGCAGCTCATGGAGCGATGTGTGACCGACCCGGACACGGGGCTGTGCCTCCTTCCACTCACTGACCAGGCAGCCAAAGCAAGGGAGCTGCTCTACACTGACAAAGAAGCCAAGGATGTCTTTAAGAAGGCTACAGTGATGGCACCATTTGGCAAGTTCCAAGGGAAGACAGTGACCATCTGGGAGATCATCAACTCTGAATACTTCACTGAGGACCAAAGGCGGGACCTGATCCAGCAATACAGGACTGGCAAGATCACGGTGGAGAAGATCATTAAGATTATCATCACGGTTGTCGAGGAAAGTGAGAAAAAGAACCAGATGTTATTCGAGGGGCTCCGGGCCCCCGTGCCTGCTGCTGAGCTGCTGGAAAGCAAAATCATCAACAAGGACCTCTACAACCAGCTGCACCAGGGCAAGAAGTCCGTTCAGGATGTGGCAGAGATGGAGTCTGTGAGGCAGTACCTGAAGGGAACGGATGCCATTGCTGGCATCCTAGTGGAGTCAACTGGCCAAAAGTTCACCTTCTACGAGGCCTTGAAGAGAAACCTGCTGAAGCCAGAGCTTGTCCTGCCCTTGCTGGAGGCACAGGCTGCCACAGGCTATATCATCGACCCTGTGAAGAACAAGCTATATTCTGTTGATGAGGCAGTGAAGGCTGAGACCGTGGGGCCAGAGTTTCATGAGAAGCTGCTGTCTGCAGAGAAGGCTGTGACTGGCTACAAGGATCCCTACACTGGCCAGACGGTTTCCCTCTTCCAAGCCCTCAAGAAGGGCCTCATCCCCACCGACACCGGGGTGCGTCTGCTGGATGTCCAGCTTGCCACAGGTGGCATCATTGATCCTGTGAACAGCCACCGGCTCCCGCTTGAGGCTGCCTACAAGCGGGGCTACCTTGACCCGGAGATGAACTCAGCTCTGTCCCAGTTCCTAGAGGAGGCCAAGGTTTTCTATTGTCCCAACACTCAGGAGAACCTCACCTATGCCCAACTGCAGAAGAACTGCCACCGTGACAAGCAGACTGGCCTCTACCTGCTGCCCCTCTCGGACAAAGCCATCCAATCCCAGCAGGAGGAGATCTATACAGACAGCCAGGCGAAGGAGTGCTTTGAGAAGGCGACTGTAGAGGTCCCATCAGGCAGCCTGAAGGGCCAGACAATGACCATATGGGAGCTGATCCACTCAGAGTACTTCACAGAGGAACACAGGCGGGAGCTCCTGCGACAGTACAAGACTGGCAAGGTGACCATTGAGAAGATAATCAAGATCATGATTACCATCATCGAGGAGACAGAGACCAAGAAGCAGGAGAAGCTGACGTTCAGTGGACTCCGGGCCCCTGTGTCTGCCAGTGAGCTGGTGGAATCCTGTATCATCAGCAAAGCCCAGTACGAGCAGCTGAAGGAAGGCAAGAAATCAGTGAAGGACCTCTCAGAGACAGATTCAGTTAAGAGATACCTGCAGGGGAGTGACTGCATTGCAGGCATCTATGTGGAGGCAACCAGAGAGAAACTAAACATCTATGAGGCCATGAAGAGGAACCTGCTGAGGCCCAGCACTGCTGTGGTTCTCCTGGAGGCCCAGGCTGCAACTGGGTTCCTGATTGATCCTGTGAAGAACCGGAGGCTGTATGTCAACGAGGCGGTTAAGGCCGGCATTGTTGGGCCTGAGCTGCATGAGAAGCTGCTGTCTGCCGAGAAGGCGGTCACTGGGTACAAGGACCCCTACTCGGGAAACACCATCTCCCTCTTCGAGGCTATGAAGAAAGGACTCATCGTCAAGGAGCACGGCATCCGCCTGCTCGAGGCCCAGATTGCCACAGGTGGCATCATCGACCCCGTGCACAGTCACCGTGTCCCCGTGGAGGTGGCCTACAAGCGAGGCTACTTTGATGAGGAAATGAACCGCATCCTCTCTGACCCCACAGATGACACCAAGGGCTTCTTCGACCCCAACACCCATGAGAACCTCACCTACCTGCAGCTGAAGGAGAAGTGCATTGAGGACCCTGAGACAGGCCTGTACTTGCTGCCCCTGCGGGCGCCAGAGAAGCCTACAGTGGTGGAGACCACTCAGGTGTACACAGAGGCAGAGACGCGGAAGGTGTTTGAGGAGACGCAGGTGGACATCCCCGTGGGCAGCCGGGCAGGCTCCTCCATGTCACTGTGGGAGATCATGAACTCAGACTTGCTGCCTGAGGAGCAGAGAAAGCACCTCATGGAGGAGTTCCAGTCAGGCCGTGTGTCCAAGGAGCGCATGATCATCATTATCATTGAGATCATTGAGAAGACTGAGATAATCCGGCAGCAGAACCTCACTTCCTACGACTATGTCCGGCGCCGCATCACGGCTGAAGACCTCTACGAGGCCACAATCATCTCCTTGGACATCTATAACCTGCTCAAGCAGGGCTCCAAGACCATCCGGGAGCTGCTGGACATAGAGACCGTCTGGAAACACCTCTATGGGTCAGGCTGCGTGGCTGGCATCTACATCCCCTCCTCCAAGCAGAAGCTCAGTATCTACCAGGCACTGAAGAAGGGGCTGGTCAACTCTGAGGTGGCCCGCTGCCTCTTGGAAGCCCAGGCTGCAACGGGTTTCATAATTGACCCTATAAAGAACGAGAGGCTGACAGTCGACGAAGCAGTCAGGAAAGGTGTAGTTGGGCCAGAAATCCATGATCGGCTCCTGTCTGCAGAGAGGGCTGTGACTGGTTACAGAGATCCATACAGTGAGCAGAAGATTTCCCTCTTCCAGGCCATGAAGAAGGACCTTATTCCCAGTGAGGAGGCCCTGAAGCTTCTGGATGCTCAGATAGCCACTGGTGGTGTCATTGACCCACACCTTGGCTTCCACCTTCCCCTGGAGATGGCCTACCAGCGGGGCTTCATCAACAAGGACACATATGACATGCTCTCCGAGCCCAGCGAGGTGCGGAGTTACGTGGACCCCTCCACGGACGAGAAGCTCAGCTATACGCAGCTCCTGAAGCGGTGCCGCAAGGACGAGAGCAGCGGGCTGCTGCTGCTGCCGCTCTGCGACACAAGGAAGCTCACCTTCCGTGGGCTGCGGAAGCAGATCACTGTGGAGGAGTTGGTCCGCTCGCAGGTAATGGATGAGGCCACAGCTCAGCGCCTCCAGGAGGGCCTCACCTCTGTGGAGGAGGTCTCCAAAAACCTGAAGAAGTTCCTGGAAGGCACCAGCTGCATTGCCGGTGTCTTTGTGGACTCCACAAAGGAGCGACTGTCCGTATATCAGGCCATGAAGAAGGGTATCATCAGGCCAGGCACTGCATTTGAACTCCTGGAGGCACAGGCAGCCACAGGGTATGTGATTGACCCTATCAAAGGCCTCAAGCTGAACGTGGAGGAGGCCGTGCGGATGGGCATCGTGGGCCCTGAGTTCAAGGACAAGCTGCTCTCTGCTGAGAGGGCAGTTACTGGCTACCGTGATCCCTACACTGGAAAGCTCATCTCCCTCTTCCAGGCCATGAAGAAGGGGCTGATCCTGAAAGACCATGGGATCCGCTTGCTAGAGGCCCAGATCGCAACGGGAGGCATCATCGATCCTGAGGAAAGCCACCGGCTGCCTGTGGAGATGGCCTACAAGAGGGGCCTCTTTGATGAGGAGATGAATGAGATCCTGCTGGATCCCAGTGACGACACCAAGGGCTTCTTTGACCCCAACACCGAGGAGAACCTGACCTACCTGCAGCTCATGGAGCGGTGCATCACTGACCCAGAAACTGGCCTCTGCCTCCTACCCCTGAAGGAGAAGAAGCGGGAGAGGAAGACTTCCTCCAAGTCCTCTGTCCGCAAGCGCAGGGTGGTGATCGTCGACCCAGAAACCGGCAAGGAGATGTCTGTATATGAAGCCTACCGCAAGGGTCTCATCGATCACCAGACCTACCTGGAGCTGTCGGAGCAGGAATTTTTGATGACCACCTCTTCCTCTGATGGCGTGGTCAAGTCCATGATCATCGACAGGCGCTCAGGCCGTCAGTACGACATTGATGATGCCATTGGCAAGGGCCTGATTGACCAGTCGGCTCTGGACCAGTACCGCTCGGGCACGCTTTCCATAACCGAATTCGCAGACATGCTCTCCGGCAACATGAGCGGCTTCCGGTCGCGCTCGTCCTCTGTGGGGTCATCCTCCTCCTACACGGTCAGCCCAGCACCCACGCGAACGCAGATATCGATGTGGAGCGACCCAACGGAGGAGACCGGGCCGGTCGCTGGCATCCTGGACACCGACACACTGGAGAAGGTGTCCATCACAGAGGCCATGCGCCGCAACCTCGTAGACAACATCACGGGGCAGAGGCTGCTGGAGGCCCAGGCCTGCACCGGGGGCATCATTGACCCCATCACTGGGGATAAATGCTCTGTGGCAGATGCAGTGAACAAGGGTCTAGTGGACAAGATCATGGTGGACCGCATCAACCTCGCCCAGAAGGCCTTCTATGGCTTTGAGGACCCACGAACCAAGACGAAGATGTCAGCGGCCCAGGCTCTGAAGAAGGGCTGGCTCTACTACGAGGCTGGGCAGCGCTTCCTGGAGGTGCAGTACCTGACGGGAGGGCTGATCGAGCCTGACGTCGAGGGCCGCGTCTCCTTGGATGAGGCGCTGCAGAAGGGCACCATTGACACACGCACAGCCCAGAAGCTGCGGGACGTCAACACCTACTCCAAGTATCTCACCTGCCCCAAAACAAAGCTCAAGATTTCCTACAAGGATGCAATGGACCGCAGCATGATCGAGGACGGCACCGGCCTGCGGCTGCTGGAGGCCTCCTCCCAGTCCAGCAAAGGCTACTACAGCCCCTACAACGTCAGCAGCGCCGGCTCCACCTCCGGCTCGCGGTCGGGCTCCCGGACGGGCTCCAGGGCGGGCTCGAGGCGTGGGAGCTTCGATGCCACCGGCTCCGGCTTCTCCATGACCTTCTCCTCCTCCTCCTACTCGTCCTCCAGCTTTGGGCGCAGATACGCGCTGGGCGCCCCGTGCGCCGTGGATGCAGCAGCCCTCGCGCTTGCGCTGTCGCAGCTGGGCAGGGGCTGCGCGTGGGAGGCTGGCGGGGAGCGCTCCGGACTGCGGACGCCGCCGCTCTGCGTGGCCTAGAGCCCCGGCTGCCCCGTCCCGCGCACCGAGGACCCTGCCCGCCCCTCCTGCTCTGCATGCAGTAAAGCTGCTGGCTACTCACTCTGTTATTTTTTTTAATTTTTTTCTTCCAAAGCAGTGCCTAAAGTTTAACCAAAAAAGACTAGACTAATATATTAATATATGCGATTGTTCTGACAGTATTTGTATATGAAGAGCTGAGAGAAAACACACACTTCCCGCGGCGCCCGGAGCTCGCGGCTGAGCGGAGCCTCCCGTGGGCGCCGCCGCCCCCCCAA